TATTCTAATTTTTCGAGTATCACCTGTAGAATCCTATACCTACTCCAGGTACTCCCAATTACCCTCCCGAAAATATTCTTAGACACAATATGCAAATTATTCACTACGTTCATCTGGTCCCATAAACCCTAGAGGTTGTCGTACTCGTTACTAACCAGGCCAAAGACTGATGGAGGCTTAGGTTTACCAAATGTAGAAACATATCATAATGTGGTACTCCTAGCCAGAATATATGACTGGACAGACACTAACACGAGCAAGTGATGGGTCGCTATAGAGGACACATTCTTTCAGGTTTCCATCTACAGGGTCCCATGGCAAAAATCAGGACAAGCACTTCTCAAATACTCGCAGCACCCGACCATAACCCTAACTCTGAGAATGTGGTCACATATATCAAAACTCTTAACCCCCCTCACACGATACCTTAAAGCACACATCACCCCTCGTCCTTAGACATGGTTCAATAACACCCCTCTGATGAGGCTCGTGTGATATGGTGCACCTATGCCTCTCTAACATACATACTACCGGTTATATAGACGACATTGAGTCCAGAAGAAACTCACCTACCCCCACTATGAGGTAAACTGACCAGACATCCTGCCCCCCCACCTCGGCAGAAACCAGTTAGTAAGCACAAGCTTCGATGTATACACCCATACCAATGTCCTATTCTCCACATACATAGAGAAAACTATAATGTTATAATGGTCTACAAATTAGTTACATATATAATGAAAAAAATAATAATTCCAAATATGTTAACACATGAAAGATGAGAGTGAACAAACAACACCTAATGGGTCACCACATACTGTCATTTATATAATGTATAGATTTGTATGAACCCTACTTGTATACCTCATGCTTGTTAAGTTGACACCAGACAGTGTGTTTCATGTATTCGCATGCAAAATGATAATAAAGAATTATAAAAAAATAAAAGAAAGTGATATAGGTGAGTTTGATCTAACAGTATATGAGGAGAGGTGATGTTCTTAACGTGGTGGTCTATCTTACCTTAACTGACCAGCTTTGTTTGCTCTGTCTGGTTTTATTTGACCTACCCATAGAACAAAAACTCACCAAGTGAACGTCATGCTTTTCCAAACATGAGTTTGTCAGGAACATCTAGTAATTTACAATTTTTTTTGGAATGTTATCCATCATATCATTTGCACTGATTTCATAGCTAGTTCTCCAGCTAAAAAAATCATCAGCTCACAGAACACCAGGGTAGTGGCATCTGCCCTGTAATATTTACTTGCTGTGAAAAATACACAGATTCCTTGCAAACTGTCTTTTCAGAAATGACATGTATAATTCTGTTTCCTATTAATATCTTGTAACAACTTCAGCTATGTAAGAGGGAGGGCACTTGTAAATGGCAAAACCCATGAGTTAACATTTGATGAAGCATATGCCTTTAAAATCCTTGGGGCGGCATACTCCGAACATTGTACATACCTCTATGCATTATTCATATAATTCTGTGGGACCCCAATTCCCACTGCTTCTGCATTTCCAAATGTCAGCTCATTGCAGACATCTATTGCCTGCAGCATCTCATTCAGAATGTATCTCCCTTTGGTTCCATATCTGGTCCAGAATGCACATTTGATACTATGACTTTCATTACATCCACTTGTCATACAAAGGGCTGACATTCTATAACAAAAATAGTTTTCTCTGAATATGGTGCCATTAAAGTATTTGACAAATGTCTTGGCATTATAAATCTGAATTATTTACCATTTGATTGGAACTATGGTTCAAAATACATGTTCGTTTATCAAAAATCTTTAATTTTTTTTTATTTATTGATCGTTAACATTGTAGTTTTATTTATTTTTACTGAATGGAGAAATATATTAAACTGCATGACCAAATACAAATGGAAACTACTAATTGAATTACTGTATCAAATCTATATGAAAAATGTATTTCAAAAGTAACCAACCACGGAAAATAAATCTTTCCTCAGTGTTTGGAACAAATAAAAGGCCCGGGATTGGCAACCTTTGGCACTCCAAATGTTGTAGACTACATCTTCGTTGATGCTTTGCAAGTGTTATTGCTGTAGGAGCATTATGGGAGACATAGTCCACAATCGGTAGTGTGCAACACAGGATGTAGCGACAGCAGGTCTCCCTCCCCAGCGGGAGCCGGATATACCAGGAAAGGAGACAGCTGGTCCCTCTTCCCAATTACAGAGGAACAGCACCCCTGAGCCCAATGGTGCAGATGGGATCGCAGTCTCTGCACCAGACTTACAAGGATATTGGACGGCCGGTCCAGATCCCCAACCAACCCTGCAGGAATACCAGGAGGAGGAGGTGGCCAATCCCTCCTCTGCACAGCCAATTCCCAACCAGGTCCTGGTAGTAGTATCCGCCGACCCCATCCCAGCAGAAGAGCTGGCATCAGGGCAGAGCGCCGCTGGCCTCTGCCTTACCTGCCCCCTTCTTACAGGGCAGGACTACATACCAGTCTCCCCAGTGGAAGAGCTGGCATCTGGGCAGAGAGCAGTTGACTTCTGCCCTCCCCTTGTCCTTAATCCAGGAACTTGCGGCCCTCTCAACTACCCAGCTGTAACACTGGCTGCGGGGCAGAGCACCACTGGTCTCTGCCCACCAAGTAACACCAACTACAAGCCGGAGAGCAACAGAGTGTCCAGGAGTATTCGATGCCCACTTGACCGCTGGGGACAGGACAAACCTGGACACCACAGGCCTGCAGGTCCAGTATTTGCATATGGGTGGGCTACGCTACTAACTCCGTTACCGACCGAAAGGAGGTGAGGTACCTGGTTAGTCTCCCCTTGGGAGGGAAGATATGTGGTGAGGCTACTTGGAGGAGCCTGTTTGCCAGCCACCTACCCTGTGCCACTGTAATAGACCTGGCTGAAACACTTTAAACAAGCTCTGCTCGTGCAATTGGGACTAGATAGTTAGTTTACCGAACAACCGCACGAACCAGAGACCACCCTGGAGCTTGTTAACACCTATTAACAACTTGGAACGTTTCTCACCGCAGTGTTCTAATTGTTCGTCTGGGTGGCCGCAATTCCTATGGACAACCACGAGGTGTTGTTCGCATTAATGCAGGCAGCGGTGTTTGGGCATGAATCTCATGGAACTAAAATCAGAAGAGGCTGCAATACTTTTATCAGGCTTGGGAGCTGACCACACAAAATCCTTGAGTGCAGAATATCATTGCAGAGGACTACAAAATCAGATTCAAAAAAATGCCAGGGCACAGACTCTTAATTTCGTTTTTACCAAGGAGGGCTATGAGTATCCTTGGGACACTAACATCCTCCATTCTGGCAATAAAGTGGTCAAGAGCCGCCATGAGACACCTGCAATGGGAAATTCTTCAGAACTGGTCAAAAAGGGAAGATGTTCTAGATTTGGAAATTGTACTTTCTTCCTAGATCAGAAGTCAACTCGTTTGGTGGAAAAGATCCAGCTTCCTTTCAAAAGGTCTGTCTTTCAAACAAAAAGAATGGCTAATCATGACTACAGACGCCCCCCAACATGGTGGGGATGCTCATTTCCAATCCAATATGTGTCAATTGATCATGTCCACAAGAGATGCTCGCCAATCATCAAACTTCAGAGAATTAAAAGCCGTCTTCTATGCTTTTCTTTATTTCAAAACTTGGATATCAGGCAAAGCAGTAAGAATTCAACCGGACAACAGCACAACAGTTGCTTTGACAACAGACAAAAGGGAACAAGTATAAAAAGCCTTTATCTTCTTTGTTCAGAAATGTTTCTTTCGGCACAAAAGTAGGTGGAAGATTTGGCTGTTACACACATAAAGGGGTAGGACAACTTAGTAGCAGACAAGTTGAGGTTAAAATGGTCACAAGCAGAATGGTCCCTTCATCCAGACCTATTCTCAGCTCTCACCAGAAGATTCAGAACTCCCCTTCACCCTATAAAGGGCTTCCACCGGCAAACCCACTTCAGTTCTTATACATGGGACAGATCAGGCATCTGGACAAAAGGTGAGGCACACGGGTTGATGTTTGGGGGATGCGGCCTGATAGCTGCCCGGGAGTATGCTGAGCGGCCAGGCTCCTTCCCTCTGGTGGCAGGATACTGGTCAGAAGGGATTCACCTTGTCACCAGCCCCCCACACAGCTCAGAGGTTTTTGAGGTAAGATTAATGAATTTTTACTTTGAAAATTTTTGTTTTCTGGAAAAAATGATTGAAGTCTTAAAGGTATATTTCATATTAAATTTCAGATATGTCTAGGCTTCAGGAAATGGACAAAGAACGCACTTCTGTATTACAGAGAGCTGTGGAACGCCGATGTGTTAATGCATAGAGGGCAGGCTAATTTGAGCTAGATGTCAGGATACAACAGAAACTTTATACTAGTCAAAAAAGTGTTTCTGCATTTTTTAAAGTGGTTGTATGGTAAAAAAAAAAACTTTTTTATTTTATCCCATGGAGTTTTTCCATTCCTAATTATGGAAGAGGAGTTGCAGATAAGAGGAGTCAGCCTGCATGAGCTATAAATACAAATGGCCAGCCAATAGAGTCACTATTTAAGGCTCCAAAATTTGTGAATGTATTGCTTCTCTTCCTTATTTTCTCTGACAATATTGTGCGATGATAGTTTTTCCTATTTCCTTGATAGTTACTACATAGTGAAAACTGAAGAAGTGGTATCTTGTCTGTATCTTTCAGGGGAGTGGCCATCTAAACAGACCCAGACCTTTAAAGTGAGAGCTGGTTTGCTCTAATATATGAGTGTGTTCCATTGGGGATTGGTTTATTTGTTATACTACACTATGACTCGTGTTTGTTTTGTAGTTTCTAAGAATATTTCCTACACGGATCTATATAGGAAAGATAAGCATCTGTTATATAAGCATATTCCCAGTACACTGTGTGTACATATTCACTTTTTCGTATTGTTTTTTGTGGTAGTGGTAGGTGAACACACGAAAAAGTGTGAGAGCAGTGTACAGATCGATCACTGTAAATAGTTTTATTTAATTTATAGTCCGCTCAGAAATAATCTGCTTTGTTTAACATACAAACAGTGCCTTATAAAAGTAGCCAACAATACATCAGACTGCTCCTCTTAAAGGGAAGCTATTGTTAGAAATGTATTTATCAAATATTTTACCAGGATGGATACATTGAGATTTCTCTCGTTTGCAAGTATGTCTTGGATGCACAAAACATTGTACTGCAAAGTAAGAGTAACAAAGTGGCTTTACGTCTTTTTTTTATCCCATGCATGATCTCATTCAAGCCAATGCTTCTTCATTGAGAAGCATTGTGAGCCCATTCTGCATCTCCTTTACGAGATGCATCATGCCAATGCAGCTTTAGGGGAGAGGTTGGCATCTTCATGCAGAGCGTTAAGATGCTGAATGTCGATCCTACATGGATAGGACAGTGATGAAGCTCCTCTAGTGGCTGGCTGGCTGGCTGACGGCCACTATAGGTGTCCTTAAGAAGAAATATAAACACTGAGTTTTTACAGAGGAAACAGAGTTTACAAATCAGAGACAGGCTCTTTACACCAAAACCACTAGATTACGCTCTTGTGGTGCTGGAGCTTAGTGTTCCTTTAAATTAAAGAACTTAAGTGGATTTTTTTTAAATTGTAAATACATATTTAAAACGCAACTCTGCTAGGCTAGTCTCACAGCAAGTATTGAAAAATGTCCATGCATCACCCAGGATAAAGGGAAGGCCATTTTGCTCCAGCTATTTTCCCTATTGTATGCGCTGTTTTGTGGCCATGCTAATGGTTACTTCTTATGTCAAGTAGTCTGCATTCTTCATAAAAGCGTATCAATTAAACTGTTAATAGCTCCCGACTGATTCCTCTCTTGCAACTGTCATAAGTCTAATACTATCCTTACCTTTTGTGTCACTTTACCCCACTCCCTCTAGCATGTAAGCTCATTGAGCAGGGCCTTCAAACCCTCTGTTCCTGTGTGTCCAACTTGTCTGGTTACAACTACATGTTTGTTCGTCCACCCACTGTAAAGCGCTGCGGAATTTGTTGGCGCTATATAAATAACATAATATTAAGGTGAATAGATCAAATCTAATTTGAGTCGTCAGAGCAGCAGCAGCCTGTTTAAAGGGTTACTCTAAGCACCCTGAACATTTCTGTGAATTGAAGTGGTAATGGTGCCTGTATGTGCAAGGTTTCACTATAAAACACAGATATGGAGATTACTCAAACTCTGACAGCATCACTGGGGTGTCATCACTGGACTAATGTCATTTCTGTAAATATATCTATGCAGGTAAATGCAATCATTGGCTGAAAGTGGTCATCAGATGCTCTCAGACAAAGAATGACAGTCAGGATTGGTATCTGGCTCTGCAGAAGCCAGATGCACATCCTACCCAGCCTTAAAAGGAAACCAGGTAAGATGGGGAGAACAGGGCCCAGGTAGTACAGTCATTATAACCACTACCCTAAACTATAGAAGTTATGATGCTTGTACTCTTTAAAGCTGTACAGGGGGGGGAGGGGGGTGTACCAGTGATACTCCATAAATGACCACAGCAGCATGAAAGAGTATTAAGGGGTACAATTATATATCCCAGGCAAGTGAGGAGGACCAATTTCCCAATAGTAGCTCTGTTTATAATCCATCCACTGCAAACATATTTGCCTAGTCAAGGAAATTTGTTCACATTGGTATCCTTTAGTCTCCTTTCAAATTTTCTTAATCAATAAAACCTTTGGGTTGAACTGTGACACGTTGTAGGGCTGACATGGAGAACAAACCAGTAGATACAACCTGATAATGTGCAATGCTCCTCTTTGGAATATAAGAATGTTTGAGTACAGAGGTCTCATACATCACTCTGTGCAGCGGAGGAGGCTCAGCTCTTACCACAGGACCAGAGTTCTTTACTATGGCATCTTACTCATTTAGACCCCTTTAACACACAGTTTCTAGGTTTCTTGCAATCAATCACCTTAATACATATTTTTTGTTTTTGTTTCTACAAACACCTAAAACAATGCCTACAAGAGAATATTCAAAGATCCAATTTAGTTCAATAAAGAATTACGGCATTACAGTTTATTTTACATTACTTCATTAGTTTCCAAAAAATGCACGGTGATTGCAAAAGTATTTCTTATCCCCATTTTTAAAGTTGTAGTGAAACTCTCCCATACATATATAGAACAGACAAAGATCCTGAATAAGTTAAAAAAAAAAAAAAAAGTGTTATAATCTTAGTAAAAGATTAAAATACTTTTCTCTAGTGCTTTACACCTTCCCTTAAAAGGAAAACTTCACAACTGTTAGCCTTTATTGCCTACACCGTTTACATTCCCATTTTTGTATAGTGTTTGCAAACTAAATACAAAAATGTTTTGTAGAATGCTGCATATTTACCCAGCATCCTCAGTTCCTTCTGTTTGTTGGTATGGTACTGTATGTCAAAATCTCCCTTTGTGCCCCTCCCTCCTAACCTGTAGTCTCCAATAACACAGTTGTATGTCTTGGAGCACAAAGGTTGCTGGGACGTGTAGTTCAAATAACAGCTTTCTTATGTAGTAGTTAAAAAAAATAAAAAAAATAAATAAAAATGTGCTACTGCTACCCTTCCTCACGTATGTTACACCTTGTTTGGCTTCATTAAACATGATCAACGGTTTGGATTCTATAGACTAAAATCTGAGGTTCTTGAGTAGCCAAGCTATGGCCTGGAGGTCAGTTATGTAAGATTTTGTGTTTTACACATAACTATTATTTGGGTTCAGATTTTTTATGCATATTTTTAATGCATTATCTTTAAAATGCATTGGAGAAAAAAAAAAATGATGATCCTGGTACTGTAAAGAGAACCCATTTAACCCAATGTGTAACTTGAGCCATCTACACCAATAATGGATTTGAAGAGTTCCTCCAACCATCACTGCAGTGGTTAGAATACCCTAGCAACGCTCCCTGGTAAAGGGGGAAACCGTATTACAATGTGGTCCTACCAAGCACAAGATCTCCTCTCATGCAGACTTATGCTACCTCTTCCTTGGCTGAGAGTTGTTTTTAAAGAGAAACGCTGAACATACAGATTCTAGGCTCTATAACCACTTCCACTCACTGAAGTGGTCATGGTGTTTGAAGTAAGTCACATTGTGTTAAGAAAAATGATATTGTGATAAAAGTAATAAAGAGGAAGGGAGGGAGAAACAGGAGAAATACTATAGTGCGGAACTGGTGCAGACATCAAAGAATAGAAAAATAACTAATGAGAAGAAAACGGTAAAGGGACCACAAACAGAACCCTACATTCACACAAACGCTGCACTCTATGGATTCACTCACCCACTGACCAAAAGTAAGCCCTCCATTGAATAACATTGATAAAGCAAGCAACAAACAATTTTGTAAAACACAAACTGCTGCACGAGCTAATGTGTGGCGGCAAATAACATTTAGTCTTCACTAACAGCCTTAGGACATCTCCCTTAAGAATACGTATCTGAAAAGTATTTTCATTTAAAAAGAAAAGAAAAAAAATATCTCCTAATTATTTTGCCACCACATTACCTTGTAAACTCCTTTGCCAAAAATAGTTTGAAATAAGTTTTTCACAGCTGGAACACAACACATGCAACATCTTACATACACAGTTGTTTGCTCCTTTAAACAAAAACAAACAAAAAAAAACAAAAACATTTGCATTAGAGTAAGTGCCATGCTGACCATTTTTTTTTACCAGGGCTTGTGTAATTTGTAACAAGGCTGTAAAATGAATCCATCTAAACTTTTAAACAGAAGAAAACAAAAAACAAACATTATACTCCTGGCACCCGTGCTAGATCATATTCAGAAAACATAACCACCAATAAGTGAAATCACTACATGGATTGGTTTTTTTTTGAGAAACTTTACAGATGTGATACTGCTCTTTAAGTATATTTCACAAATCCACATTCATTACTTTTCATATAGCAGGTGTTTGTGTTCCATCACGATCTATCATTTTAAAAAGTTTAGCCAGCGGTGGAATATTTCATCCCTACATCCAGCTTAACATTTCTTCCTTATATTTTTGTGGGTCTATGAAAGGTTTGTCAATAGACCGAATCATGAGGTCACCACAGTAGGCACATTCAGCTGCCACAATGTCATCAATGTCTGCCTTAATTTGCTCACGAGATTGTGAACTCTTGCCTAGGCTTACATTATCATCATCTTTTGTGTGGGAGCGACTTTTTGATGGCTGAGCTGCAGCTCCAAGCTTTTTTTGAAGGTCTTCCAGCTTAATTTGTTTGTAAGTTGGTAGGTTGGGCACAACAACCTGCATAAGACAGTCATAGTGGAACATGTGTCCACAGAGGAACAGGTAGAAGGGCCGATTCAGTAATGGAAAGTCACATACTGTGCATTTGTCTTGTGGATCCACTGATCCATACTTGTTTCTCATCTCCTGCATATCTTCCCGGATACGCTTGGCACTAAGAGTAGCATCTTCCATCTCCCTCTTCAACTCCTCAATGTGCTGATTATAGTCTTCAAGCGAGCTGCAGATGGCTTCTTTGAAATGGTCAATGGTCACAAAGTCAGGGAAAAAGGGCAGTATGTCCTCAATTTTAAGAAGATTACAGCTAGACAGGCAGACCATGGCTTTTTTCACATCTTTTTCTTCCTGCACCACATGACGAGCAATTTTCAGCCAAAGTTTCTTCTTTAGCTCCTCATCATCTCCTGGTAAATCTGCACAGGACTTTGCCAGATCCACATTCACCTAAGTAGTTTGCAATGAGAAAATAAAATCATAAAATTAATCATTGCATTAAAACACAATTGGAACACACACACACTTGCAAAATATAACAAAACCCAGAGCACCATTACTACTAGCTACTGGCACTGTCTCCTAGTTCTGTGTCAAAAGTTGGCTGGCTTTTAAAACAGTCTTCTGACTCGGAGTAAAAAGGTTTTCAAACAGTTTGACTTAAACAGACCTTCCCTACATGTTCTACTATCTTTATTTCTAATCTAGAAGTCACACTTTCTAATGTCAGTTTGGTCCACTTTGAAAGTGTGATTTCCACATTAGAAATAAAGCAATTTAGGGAGCAGGGGTCTGCTTAAGGGACCCTCAGTTTGCATCAAACTGTTAGAAAACATTTTGACCCAGAATTAAAGAATGGCACCAATAACCTACTAGCACCATAACTACTATGGTCTCTAGTGGAATTTTTAAAAATGTAATAAAAATTCAGATTTCTTATATTACATCTTAAATAATAGCTTTAGCCAATCCGCATTTTGAGAATTCTGATAAAATATTTATATAAAGACGACAACCTATTGACAAAATACACTATTAAAGGGGCACTCAAACCACCATACTGTCACGGAGTATTAACCCAAACACGCAGAGTTTAGGATAGCAAGGAACAAACAAATGAAATATAAACGTCTTACCGGGCCTTAGAGTGGCCGGACTTAATGTTAGACAGAGAAAGGCGTAGTCGAAGTACGAGCCAAGGTCAAGGTAACGGAGTGACAGTGAAAACGAGAACTAGCCAAAGTCAGGTACAAAGTAATAATCAGAAGAAGAAACAAGACAGGCAAGGGTAAAAGAGAAACTCAGAGTCAGGAAACAAAGCCAAGGTCAATACCAGAATACAATACTAATTACAAGGAACGCACTAAAGGGTACTACTGGGAACAGAAACCACAATAGGGCACAGATTCTAGGGCCAGGTAAGTTCAAATACCTTTATTTTTTATTTGATTGGTCCATGTCATGGCTGCACCCCAAAACGTGCGTGAATGGGAGTGTCGGAATGACGTGGGTCAATGGGAGCCGACCGCAAGGTTAGGCCCCCACTTCCAAGACGCACGTGGCTTGCCTGAAGGCAGGAATGCTTGAACCGTGTGTGGCTCGATCAGAGGACCCCTGCCAGCAGGAGGACCAGGTAAATACCGTAACACATACCTATTGCAGTTCCGTGTCATGGTTCTAGCACTACAAGTCTTTGGGTGTTCTCTGGCTTTACATGAAACCAACCTGGATATCGGGACTGGACTAACCCTGCCTGTAGACTCACTGGACCATAAACAGTGCAATGAGCTGTCCTGGTTACAGTGCTAAGAGAGTGCCAGTGAGAATTCAGCTCAGATCTGCATGTCAACCATTCATTATATGTCAAAACAAAAATGTTTTTAAAATGTTTATTAGTGGTATAAGTTGCCTAAATAAATTCACCCACAATAAATGAACATGGGGAAAAGACACACAATGGTCATTATTAACAACATATTTAATAATGGCGAGGGAGAATGTGGATGGACATAATCTTTGTTTTTGACAGACTTTGACAGAGCTACATTACCATAGATTTCACTTCCATAATTCTGCTTTTATTTTTTGTAGAGAACAGTATCACTGTGGTATGACTTAAAGGACCACTACTGTGCCAGGAATACAAACTCTTTTTCCTGGGACTACAGGGTAATTAGGTCCCCCCCACCCTTCAGCCACTTACCTTTCTCCAGCGCCGGGCTCCCTCGGTGCTGGTGACCTCTCCGCCTCCTGCCGACGTCAGCGCCGCGCACGCATTCAAACCGCCCATAGGAAAGCATTACTCAATGCTTTCCTATGGACGTCCAGGGTCTTCTCACTGTGATTTTCAGTGAGACAGCCACTAGAGGCTGGATTAACCCTCAGTGTAAACATAGTTTCTCTGAAACCGCTATGCTTTCAGCTGCAGGGTTAAAACTAGGGGTACCTGGCATCCAGACCACTTCATTGAACTGAAGTGGTCTGGGTGCCTATAGTGGTCCTTTAAGGAATACTAAGCACCATGACCACAACAGCACACTGTTGTAGTTATGATGCCAGTGTTCTGGACCTCTCTTTGCAAATAGTCAAACATTTTATTGGCAGCTTGAATTTGGTTTATGTCAGGTGCCTCTCCCTATCTCCACCTCATCAGCCAGAGAAGCATAGTAGCTTCCATCAGCTCTCCAAAGCAATTCAGAATGAAGGTCAGACATAGGGCTTTTAGCTCTCAGTCCCATGGACCCCATGAAAGAAGTCAAACTCTTCTAAAAACATTTGCACTAGGACAGTGATAGGCAACCTTCTGCACTCCAGATGTTGTGGACTGCATCCCCCATAATGCTGACAAAGCATCATGGGAGGTGTAGTCCAAAACATCTGGAGTGCCAAAGGTTGCTGATGCCTGCACTAGGGCATTCTTGGCAGCATAACCACTATAGTGGTTATGGTGCTTGGACTGTTCATTTAATATGTAGGAATTGGCAAACAGGCACTCTAACAGATTTAGATTAGGACTAGCAAGATGCTTAACTAACCACATTGCCAAGTGTGGTCTATAACTAACCAGCTACCATAGGCTGAACATGAACTCATCAGTGCTCAAGATGTCCACTTGCGAGAGAAAATTGTGCCCTTGCAAATAGAAATTCACCACAGCTGAGTGTGAGTAACTGTTGGCCCTCTCTAGTAGTGTAAGTCTTTAGCTTTTGAGATATAAATTAAGGCCCTGAATGTATGAGTAGGCAAGGTGTATAAGGGGTGGAATACCAACTCAAAGGTTGGACATTACCTTTAATGCCAGATCCACAGCTTCTTCATAAAGTTCCATAACTTTGTAAACATGTACACATGCATGATGGTGCTCATGTTCTGCACATAGCCGCAAAGCATACTTCAGGTCATAGTGAATTCGATTAGGGTTGGTTCCAGCTCTTTCTAAGTAGGAAAGAAGGGAATCAGGTCTGAATTGAGCATAGAGAGATAGTAGGTAATTATGAATGGCCTGCTCTGTTTCCTTGAGTTCGTCCACACAGAACTCCATGTATCTTATGGCTTCATTGATCTGGGTTCCAGCACTCTGGCTGTAATTAACAAGAGCTGGAATGAGATTTTTTGGGTCCAGTTTTTTACCCATTGCAATCCAAGAGTCTACAACGGATTGTGGAATATGCTGCATGAGAACTGGAGAGAACTTGTAAAAAAGTTTCTCATCTTTGTGCTTTGATAGAACTTTAAGTGCTTCCTCATAGTCATCATGCTGACAGTGATGTGATACTACTCTTTCATAGTCTTGCATTAACACGGCAAAGTACACCATGTGCTCTGTGTCTCCATGACTGGCTAAAAGTTCATATATAGAGGCACGATTATTTATGAGGCTGTCTTTGTTTTTTTGGGTGCTGAGAAAAGCCCGGAACTCGTCACGCACCTTTAAATAAGTGGCTTTTTCAGATTGGTCACTTGCCAGGATTCCAAGATGATTCAGGTATAGCTCTGTTAACCATGTGGTCAAAAGAGTTGCTTGTATCTTCTCTGAAGGCTTTAAATTAAAGAGTTTTTTTAGTAGGAACTCCATCAGTGCAGTTTCTTGCTTGGCTTCAATAAATTTGAGGGCTATTTCTTCAAAGTAGTTCTGAGTAAGTGCATAACATTTGGCACTTTCCTTGTATCTTTTATTCTGAAAGCAATACTCTGCCTCCTTAGCTAGTACCATATCCATGCACTCAGGACGATCATTGCAAAACTCCTTGGCCAACTGAAATTTATCCATGTTCATGTACATTTTCCAAACATCTCTTGACTCTCGTTTCACGTTATAGCGAAACACTGCCCTCTCTGTATAAACCCAGATCTGCCCTAAAACAGGGTCTTTCACCATCCTTTTTAGTGGACCAAATTTCTCAGTAAAAATGTCTTCAAAGACTACCTGCCCGTTCAGTATACAAACCGCTTTAACCCGATCAGGCAAAAGAAGCAGGAAGTGGAACTGAGAGAGAACAATAGATATTGGCTTCTCACTGCTGGAGGAGTATTCCCAAACTTGTACATCGATCAACACTGATTCTGGTCTAGAGAACTCTAAGCTGCCATAAAGAACTCCATTTCCCATCATCCATGCAAATGAATTGGGGAACTTGCGAAGTTTCTGATGGTAGAAAGCAAGATCACTATAACCAAGGTTTCCTGGAAACTCCTGGATGCTGGGAAGGCTGTCGGCCGGTTGACTGAACAGAATGGCAAACCCTTGTTGCTCTGTTCCCTCTGGTATTTTGTGAACAAACTGGAAGAGTCTTTTCGGAGTGGTTGCAATAACACAGTACCGATTTTCATAGCCACGATCAATATCCAAACAGGAAACTGGGGCAGGGCCTGTCTCTTCCTCAAGAGTGTGAACATGTCGAAAATACTGGTCAGGATTTGTACCGAAAAGGCCACCTTCACTGGCTGCTATATCAGCTTCATATATGTGACCTTGATTAGTTCCTACTAGAATGGGACCAGTGCTGGTTTCCGTTCCCAAAAATCTGTTCCATCCGATACATTCAATCAAGTGGCCCCTCCATTTGGAAAGAGTTCTCACTTTTTGAGCATTACGATTCAGATACAGGCATTCATTAGTACTGAGGGCAATCAGGAGGTGAGATCCTGGAAGAGACAGATTAAATAGACTTGAGTATATTTGTATCACATTTCTTTAACTCTCAGACAAACACACATTGCCTGTAGTAAACCCATCCCGTCTTTCGCCGAAAATAAGACCGTGTTTTATATTAATCCCCCTTTCCCCCCCTCAAAAAAAAAAAAATAAAAAAATAAAAGTACTAGAGCTTATTTTTGGGAGAGTTCTTATTTCAAGTAAAAACGTGTGCTTGAAAGCAGGTCTATGTTTGGGGGAATTCCCCCAAACATAGACCAGTTCACTAGGGCATGGAATCCTGCAAATCTATGTTCGGGGAAACTTTCCCGAACATAGATTAGCTTATAGAATTAACTCTTAAATTGAACTCTGGAACAGAAATAATATTGTACACAGAGGAATGGATAAATATAAGATCAGTTAAAATGCATAAATACAATACACTCCCCAAAAAAAAAATAAGTTACCGAAAACATAGAAGCATAAAAAAACTATGTTATATGCTTCTATGTTTTCTGTAATTTTATTATTTTTATTTTTTTAGAGTCTATTTTTTTGGAGTGTATTGTATTTATCCATTTTAACTGATCTGATTTTTATCCATTCCTCTGTGTACAATATTATTTCTGTTCCAGAGTTCAATTTAAGAGTTAATCGGTTTTAAACTACCTTTTTTTTTTTTTTTTTTAATGCCCACCTCTAGTGTATTTACACCTACTATTTGAATATACGATTTTAGGACTTGGTAATAGATCTCCTAGTATATGTAAGTCTTTGGACCTACAACTACTTCTCTATTTCTCTGAGCTTTTATGGGGGCTTTCCTTTACTAGTCGAGATCTTTTACCTACCATATGGTGGGTCAAACACTATAGGGTCAGGAATACATGTTTTTATTCCTAACCCTATAGTGATCCTTTAAGTCTAGGAAAGCTGCTCAAATATTTCATATCTCTTGGCACCGGTTAAGACCACATGTGTGTCATTTGATATTGTGAGATTAAAGCAGGCAAATAAATTTTTAAAGCACACATGTCTAGAATGAGTGTGAAATTAACATTATCTTTGATTCCATAACCGCTCACCACGCTTTTAATAAACACAGGAATACGTGTGCCACTTTATATCCCTTACAAGGTAGCATACAATCAATAGTACAAGTTATTTCTGTGAAGGCACCTGCTACCTATTTCCACTGTGAGACTTTAATAATGTAGTCATCTAACTGTGCTCTTAAAGCAACACTCCAGGCACCATAACAACTATAATGGTGCCAGGCACCATCCTAGGGTAATTTAGTAAAAATGAACATTTTGACAACTTATCTGGGGTTTTCCAGGTGTCTACCCTGTGGACCTGGAAACTACTGCAAGGAACTTGCTTAACGCCACTGAACTACACCCTGTTGTGCAGAGCCAGCTCATTGGGTGAGAGCCTAATGGGAAGACAGAAATGGTGCTATTTATACAGGGCCAATTATTTTAATGTTTAATTTTAATAAATATGACTGCCGTATATCTGTCTCATTGAAGTCCCTATTTAGAGTGGAGTCAAGTTGAAGGAGCTGTGGGCATTAGCCCCACCATATACCAGGGCAACATTTTTGTGCTGATAATCAACAGATCTTATAAGATAAGAGAAGTTAATTTGTGGGTAAGGCTACTGGGGAAGATACTCTAGTAACCCACACGCCAGCATGCACCTTTATTTAAATATTATCCTATTGGGGGTGGGTAATAGTATACATTGGGTGAGAGCATCAGGACACTCCTGGCACCATAACCACTAAAGTAAGCTATAGTGCTATTTTAGGATTATTAAAGGATATAAAAAAAGGAAAACAAATGGATTTAGTCATGTACAGCACCTACACACTAGTAAAACAACAGTCTTTAGTGCTTGTGAAGGTTGGTTTAACACTATAACCAAAAACATGTTATGATTATATGCCTCCCATGTCTTTTTGTCGATTTTGGCCAGGGGTGCTCAAAAGGTACATGCCCAGATGTATTACTACAACTCCCACGATGCTTTGCATGTCTTTAGAATGACAAAGCATCATGAAATTTGTAGTTTTAAAATATCTGGGGATCTACCTTTTTGGCACTCCTGAGTTAGGCCCTCATTAGGACACACGCCTACTAATCTTTCCAACATCATAAAATGCAGGTATGTCAGTCATAAAGCTAAACATTAATAAAATGTGTATTAATGCAAGTAATACATTTATTAATTAGTTGTGAAGAAGGAAAAATAATTAAGTAAAAATCACACACATTCCAATTCTAATATTTTACCAATTGCACTATAACTATTACTAGGTCATACATTTGTATAAATTGATCAGTAAAGGTCCAACCATAGCCAAAGAAAAGAAAGATTTAAAACGGTTGAAATCTTCATTGTCTTAATGATGTAGGACAGGTAGTGCAGGTGATGTGATGCAGTGTATCTTACCTGTAGGATCCAAAAAAAGCTTATGGACTCTGGATTCGTCTTTACGGCCCAAGTCCACTTGATTGGGTTGGTCCGCCTTTATCAAATCAATTCTAAACAAACACATAAAAAAATATGGTTGGTTGCAAATAGCATGATGAAAAGTATAAGTTCATACTGCAGAGATAATCTTTCAATACAGTAGTTTTTAAATCTGTATACATGGGGATTTCACATTACATAAACAATTAAAGGGGCACTTATAATCTCTACAGCTACAAACTGTATGTATGAATCCATGCGGAAGATGATAATGTTAGCTTGTAAGTGAAAAACAGAACAGCAGATGAAGCTTTTCAGAAATCACTGGACCGTGTACAAAGTGTATTTACAAGTAAACAAATGCACTAAAAATACAAAAGGATATTTAGACAAAACTCTTACCTGAGAATTGTGTCTCTACCCAAGCTCATACAAAGCTGGTTATTGCAAACGACAAGACAGTTAATATTCTCTGGTGGTGTAAAATCAATCCTCTGCTTATTAAATATAGGGGTTTCTTTTTCTAGACGAGCATTGATATAGCCTAAAATGCAAACCATAGATTAAAGATAGATACAGTAAAGTACTGTTTATCACATGTATAAATATAAACCTTGCATTCAGATAGTATTCAGACCCCATTTTGTTTTGTTTTTTTTCCCATGATGCAGTCTACACTCAATACCCTACAATGATAAAGCAAAAAAAAAATATTTTGGAAAAAAACCAAAACACTGATTTATGGCACATTGACATAAGTATTCAGACCCTTTGCAGTCATACTTGATATTCTGATGCATCCCATTTCTCTGATTAACCTTTGATTGTAGTCATCCTGTGGTAAATTCATCATGTGCCAAACTTACATAAAATGACTTATGTTTGTAATCTCTGCCAAACTTCAGCTAAGTACTAAGTTCCAGGTTATGATGCCAGGAATACCCTGGCTGGTCCACCTTTTGGATGCTTCCTGGTGGTCTGGGGACACACTTTTGTCTTTTGCAGAGCCACAGAAGCTGCTGCCATTTATAGGCCGAGAGTGTCAACTGACAACTCAGCCAATGACCGAGTCCGACAATGATAGTTAAGAATTGATATTGGCCTGCATGGAATCCTACTTCTGGACTGGCTGATAATACCTCAATGACACTACCGAGATGAAGTTACACCTCTAGCAGTAGAGGGTTTAAAGGACCACTATAGTGCCAGGAAAACATACTCGTTTTCCTGGCACTATAGTGCCCTGAGGGTGCCCCCACCCTCAGGGTCCCCCTCCCGCCGGGGTCTGGGGAGAGGAAGGGGTTAAAATCTTACCTATCTCTAGCGCCAGGCGGGAAGCTTTCCTCCTCCTCTCCTTCTTCCTAGCGACGTCATCGGCTGAATTCGCATGCGCGGCAGGAGCCGCACGTGCATTCAGCCAGTTCATAGGAAAGCATTTACAATGCTTTCCTATGGACGCTGGCGTCTTCTCACTGGGATTTTCACAGTGAGAAGCACGCAAGCGCCTCTAGCAGCTGTCAATGAGACAGCCACTAGAGGCTTTAGAGGCTGGATTAACCCTCAGTGTAAACATAGCAGTTTCTCTGAAACTGCTATGTCTTTAAAAAAAAAAAAAGTTAGCCCTAGCTGGACCAGGCACCCAGACCACTTCATTAAGCTGAAATGGTCTGGGTGCCCATAGTGGTCCTTTAAACTCTATGTGCATCATTTCAAAGTAAAAGGCAGCATATACAGACTCCAGGCATCATGACCACTTTAAATCATGTAAATGGCATAACCATTTAAGGGTTAAATTACTTATCTGAATGTAATTTGTCTGCTTAATAAACTTGCAAATATGCTTGGTGTCCAAAATGTTTTGCTTTGTCATTATGGGTTATGTAAACAACTATAGCAACAAGGCTGCAAGGTTTATAGAAAAATGAAGGGGGTAAGAATAACTTCTAAATGCACTCAATTCTATCGCCCACCCACCACAATGATCCATAATTGTTTGTAAGACAGAGGGGTGAGCAGACCAGGTTTTCACTTGCACAATACCTCAGTAGGCTAGAAATCTAATTCCCCTGTCAAGTAACTCCAAAACTAGCCTATTTCATTCCTATTATGTGAAAATCAATGCAATATAATTTTTGACCATTCTTGATGTGCCTGTCATGTCCCACATATGCAGCCTGCTAAATGGGTTACTCCAACCCCCTTTTTTTCTCCATGCTATGGTTTTTAGTACAATGCCCTGTTGGATAATATACTTTAGCTCCCCATCCCAGACAAATGGCTGGCTGGGCAAAATTAACAGCAACTATTACTAGCAATCACCGATCTTCTGCTGTGACAGCCACACTGCACAACCAGATGCAGCACAACTCCCATCATATTCTGGCAGCCTTGAGGCTGGCCACGCATTGTGGGGGTTTCAGGTATACTACACAGTGGAGGGAGGTGTTATCAGTCACCCTAACTTTCACTAATTATAACTAGCCAGTTTGATGGGTATTGCTTTACCCCTGTTAAACCCTTTGCAGCTCAGTATTACCGGAATGGCGGATTTCTGGGGTCCGGACCTGGCTAGGAAAGTTCGGTCGGGACAGGGAGTCCTCGTACTCCTCCAGGATCGAAGCCATGGCCGGTACCGAACCCTGAAATCACACACAGACAGCAGATCGGCCTGCACTTCTGCTTTCCTCCTTGAGCACGTGATTCCGCGCCCAGTTTCCGCCTGTGTCATGTGACCGCTCTAACTCGAGTCATGTGACCAACTGAACTCTCTTACGTTCACTAACAGTGAGCAGATAATGTTTATATAATGACCCTCTCTGTCACCTTGGAGTATTTATACCTCTCCAATTTCTGGACTGAGAGGGTTAATGTAACGTTAAATATGCATTTTCGAACTGATTAGTAAAAAAACAGTTAATAATAAAGGGTAGTGGGAAGGATAGTGATTGTAGTTCTGGTAATAGGAGCTGTAGCAGGGGGGGATAGGAGTTGTAGTAGGGGGGGTTATGGGCTGAAATTGGGATGATGGGGCTGTAGTGGGGAGATAGGGACTACATTTGGGGATTGGGACTGTAGTAGGGGGGCTGGAGGCTGCAGTATGCATAGGGACAATCGTTTTGATTATAAGAGCTGTAGTATGGGGTTAGAGCTACATTTGGGGGTTAGGGACTGTATTTAGGGGTATGAACAACATTTGGGGGTTGTGGGCTTTAGTGGGGAAATGGACATGTACAGGGGGAATAGGGGTTACTGTTGGGTTAAATGGGCTGTAGTGCGGCATGGGGGCTGCAATTGGAGGATTAAGGGCTATAGTGGTGGATGGGAGGTTAGGGGCTGGCACATAAGAGCTGCAACTGGGGGGTTAGGGGTTGAATAAAAAACAAAAAGCTAGTTTTTTTCCCCCTTCATGAGTTTTAGATTGGGGCAAGAAGGGAGAATCCTGACCCATGCCCGGCCCAGGCACCAAGTGAGATAAGCGGAGCCTAACACAAGAGGTGGAGCCTAATATGAATCGCAGACCCTAGTGCCGCAATGCGCCTCTATCTGCAGGATCAAACTTCAGGATAAAAATATAATATGCCTTTTTATAAATCACTGGTATGACTATACCTTGAATATGCTGTGTAATTTTGGGCACATGTTTTAAAAAATATATTATGACACTAGCAAACGTGCAGAGGCAAGCTACAAAATATATATATTTTTTAATGGAGCATTTTAGTTATGAAGAAAGGTTAACAAATTTAAATTGCTTTAGTTTGGAAAAACATATCTCAGAGGGGTTATGAGAGCATTATACAAATATATTCGGGGTCAATACAAAGCATGGCCTGGAACTCTGTTCATAAACAGGACTATAAATGGGCAACAAGGTTACACAGTTAGACTGGACGGAGATTTAGTCTAGAGCAAAGGAAAGGGTTTTTACAGTAAGAACAATAAGGATGTGGAATTTTCTGCCTGAATAGGTGGTTCTTTCAGAGTCTATACAGACATTTAAACTGCAACTGGATGAAAACTTGCAAAAACATAATATTCAGGGATATCATCTTTTAGTTAGTAGGGTATTAGCTTCTTGATCCAAGGAGATATCTGACTGCCATTTTGGGGTCAAGAAGAATTTTCTTTTTTGTCTTCTTTTGAATCAACAGCAAAATGAAATGTGGGAGAGGCTGAACTTGATGGACGCATGTCTCTTTTTAACTGTGTAACTATACAAGCCTAAAACTCACGAATTGTGAGTAATCAAACTGTTGTCCTCTTGTCGCTTAGATCGATCCGTCTGTCTATGATAGTGGCCATCCCGACATCTGATATGCATTCTGTTTGCAGGATTTTTCAACATTCTTTTCAAGATGGCTGCCATAGGTGATGTATAGACATCTGTCTTTAGTCTAAGGTGAATAGAAATTCCAAATGTTTATATCAACTATTATTATATCACTTATGAGCTATTAATCTTCCTTCCCCACCTACTTGATGACTTTCTGTTACTGTCCTGCATGTAAAACTGCTTTAAAGAGACACTCCGGGCATCATAGCAACCTCATAAAAACATCAATAGGTAGTATAATTTTCAATGGAAAGTTAGTTTACGTATTGAATAGGATATCCTTCACACACCTTTAAGGTGAAATGATTTTTCGTTTTGTGTTTAGTATCTTTTTCACTTTGTCTTCTCGAAGTGAGCTACTGATAGGCTGAGAGCGTCAGCTGGCATCTGGCTCTAGGTTTCCAGATGGAAGCCTTGGACACTGTATGGAGTAATCAGATCCTGATAATCCTTGGCGATTTTCATGTCAAGCTGCCCATACTGTAAATTTCTTGTCCGGCAGCCATTTTGTTGTTGACTGGCTTTTGTGTTTCAGATTATTGCTTTGCTTCGTGACCAAACTGTAACAGAATTGATAGGGGGGTTTGCAGTGGCTGGAGCTCCAAATTGTGTCTTGAAAAGCCTCAGGTCTAATTTCGGCTTCAATTCATTGTTTGCCTCTAGTCCCATGTAATACTTACATGGTTATTTACTAAAGCGAAAATTCTAAGTAAATTTCAATTTTAATCCCTGAGTAGCTGAACTGAAAGCATAGGTGACTTATAGAATTGTTCCAGTTTGACCTTAAAGTTGAAATTTACCTTGAGCTCTCACTTTATTATTATTACTTGTATTTATAAAGCGCCAACAGATTCCACATTCATTGATTCAATTCATCTCTATGAGGAGATGCTGATTGGCCAGGGCTGTTTTTGAATCATGCTGGCTCTGCCCCTGATCTGCCTCCTTGTCAGTCTCAGCCAATCCTATGGGGAAGCATTGTGATTGGATCAGGCTACCACTTCTGATGATATCAGCAGACTGCTTGTTTTTCTGAGTATAACAGCATGTAGAGTTAAAGCTTCAGGCTTGAATACAGTAAGATTGTTATTATATTTCAGGAGGCATGAGGGGCCCAGGGGGGCTAGATGGTGGTTTTAACATTATAGGGTCAGGTATACATGTTTGTGTTCCTGACCCTATAGTGATCCTTTAATGCTAATACTCTGGTACCACATGGTTTAAATGCTGACATCGACAAAATCGCTTCGGCCAAAATCCCTCACTTGATAAAGAGGCTGCTCACACAATTGTTCTCTGCTAAACAGGCCAAAGTCATGGATGGCTGTTATCAGCTTTCAGCACCTCCTACACGTTCCACCGGAGTGCACAGAGATGTGATCATATGTTTTCAATATTGGCCAGATAAACAGACATTCATGACAAATAACACACCTTTACACGTGGAATGACCTTTGTGGAATTACTTTAGGGTGCACCTCATATTACCTGCTGGCTTAGGGGTTACCCCCATAATTCTCCCCCCCTTGCCCAGCCCACTCAACCTAGAATTTCTCTTTTAGATCTTAGATACATGGGTGATAGCTTCTTTACCAGTTGTTAATGTTTTATGCTTACTGTGACGAACTTGTCTTCACGATGAGTTTCTGGAGGAGCCGGCTAGCTAGCCTCCTGCCCAGGGACTATGGGCCATGGAAAGGACCTGGTTCGTGGGGGTTTATTTGTACTGTTCGGGAACCGAACAGACTCACGATCTGCGGACCACCTCTGTGCTTGTTAACCCCTATTGACCTCTTCTGACACCTCAGTCATCGAGGGTTCAAATTGTTCGACTGGGTGGCCACCAACTTGTTCGCAATAATGTAGGCAGCGGTGTTCAGTCATTGAGTTCATGGAACTACAATCGGACACTGTTACTCCCGAACACCGCTGAACTTTGACGAATGCCTGCTTCTTATCCACACATGTCAGGAGAGCGCCGATTGGTAGGTTTGTTCGTATGAACCATACGAACAAACGCTACCAACAAGCTAGAGTATGCGTTCGGTAATTGATTCGTATGGAACTCCCAAAAGTGACCGGCCGCTACCACTGAATCCCTGGAACTAATTTGGGCTGACGCCTCGTGTGCAGTCAGTCAAACCTTTACCCCGGTGGTGATTCGGCTGTGTTCGTGGGATCTGAGCGCTATTTGGACAACTTGGGCGCTCAGATCCATGCTATTTGGGGATGTAATATTTATAGGGATTCCTATATGTTTTGTGTATATTTTTATGTGTTTTTAATATTTTGTATTTTATGCCTAGTCATGCTGACTCTGGATATTGTAACCATTTTGTGGGCGTGTTGTGGAAGTGTTTTCCAGCCTCCTTATTTTGTATATAAGTGGGCCAGTTGGCTAGATTAAAGAGATTTGTTTTACCCCTTCATCAAGTCTAGGCTGATATTTGGGGACTTGGGAACTATAATTACTATTTTGCTTTGGACTCGGGAGCTTCATAACTGTAAATAAGCCGCATACATAGCAAATATACTCTTATATACTCAGCCGGTATATAACGGATCCGGTACACTTACGATCTTTCTTTCGTATTAAGGGGCACATAGCGTTTACTCGCACACGTTCCTCCCTCTGGGAGTAGACGGCTCAGTCATTGCTCATTAATGTTATTCTTGTTTTCCTACATATTTACCACAAAATCCTTAATCCCACTTTTATTGCTACATAGCAGACCTGTTGTTTTGTATGCTGTATTTTGCTATTGATCCTTTGATTGTACACTGCCTGTAATATATGTGGATTAAGAATAAAGAGAAAATGTGGGGAAAAAACCACAATAAAAACACTCTTATTTGTGTTCATCGATGTCTCGCAAGTACAACCGTACACCCCATGTACAGGTTTTATGGGATTTTGGAAAATTAAAGGGTCAAAAGAGCCCACCAAGAGAAAATGATTTGGTAAAAGGGAGCATTGGGTGGGGTGACCAAACGATAATAGCCCAGGTAAGGAGGATGCTCAGGGCCAGGTCACCCTCCCACAATTCCAGGCTATGCCTGTACATTTGTGGTCAGGGAGTAAAGAGTTAAACTACTATGTGGTTAAATGTCGGTTGTGGTGTGACGAAACCAACGTTTGGGTAGGTCTGTAAATAAATAGGATACAAAGATTTATTAATGCAACGCTTCTATTTAATTACATTGCTAAATACTTAATTCAATTGATATATAATTACATTGCTAAATCCTTAAATGCTTGTCTTGGTTCCTAGCTTGACCTGACAAATTAGCTAATAAACAAATTTGTTTGAGTAGTTGTACAGGGCAACATTTGTTTCCCATAGGATGGTGGTCCCATTTGGTTCATTTTTGATTGTTGTAGGGTTAGTTGGTAACTGTCTGCTAATTTTTTAAGATCAGGAGTTTGAAATATGTGTATCTGTAGCTTTTTCTATGGGGAACTCATGTGGGCATAAGAAACCATAGAATGCAAGATATATGGCCGTTTTAATTATTAGGTTTGTTGTCTCTAATGGATTAGTATCAATAGTGTTCTGAATTTTGGGCTATCAATTTATTGACGTTTTGTAGCTTTGGGACAGTCTAATTGTCTCTTTCTTATGGGGAGTTAACTGATGCTGGATGTCCTCATGCAGAGTGTGAGGACATCCAGAATCAGTTTGACAGCTATAAGTTGCCTAGCCACCACAAAGTGCCTCTAGTGGCTGACTGATTGACAATGGTGAGGAAGCGGTTCCCGCAGCTGGGGCTTCCAGTTTTTCAAATCTCTGATTGACCGTTTACATGGAAGTCAAGAGAGATGATATCATGGTATGCATCTCTGTCAAGTTCTCAAAGATGTTCCCGTGAGTGCAGGAACCTGGTCCCTGGGTTCCTTGCTGAGCTGTCAGCAAACAATACAACTCTGCCTTCTCAGCCGTAGCTGAGAAAGGGTGGCCTCGAAGCTTGGCTGAAATTTTCGGGATGGTCCATGACCGATGTGAACCAGGGGTAGCGGGGTCTTGAACCTCCGCTGGAGAAGTAGGTCTGACTGGGGAGACCATCGTAAGAGGGGAGTCCGGGAGACCCAAATCTTCTCCAATATCGGAAGCCTACTGTGTAAAGGAATAATTTTACTACTACCTAAAGGAAATAACTTTATACTGGGATAGGAACTGGGTTGCTATCCGAATGCCATAGGCAAAGCAATTAACTAAGCGGGGAAAGGAGAGCCCCTGCTAAGTACCATTTGGTATTTAGAGGCACTAGCTATGATTGGGCCGAAGGGCAAAACCACTATGTAGTGGTGGAGTGTAGGCCTCTCGATGATGTAACAAGAATCAAACATATGGCTTGACAAGTGAGGCCCTTCTCTAATAACCCCTAGTTGGGTCCATCGAGGCACTAACTATGAAGCTAACGATGAAGTGAGGCGGTGGGCGAAACCTCAGTGGAGAGGTAGGGGAATCAGCTTGGAGAGCTGGTGCCTCTAATCGACTAAATACTAATAATATTAAAGCCAGTTCCGTTATACATATTTGTAAAGGGTATAAATGTGGTATAATTGAAAAGTATTGCATGTATTACTTACCTGCTCATAAGGTATGAAATATCTGGATAGAGTCAGAACCAGGACAGCTAAATACACCAATGGGGGTGGTGGATGAAAGTATGCGGTGATTACCAACTAATATTACTCTGGTGCAGATGAAGCAACCTAACCTATAAAAGGCAAGTGCTTGCTAAATTCCCAAAAGGAAAAAAAAGGACATCAGGCACTATCTAATAACACTGGTAAACAATCTTTTTTCAGCAGAAATGATTTTAGGTGTACTCGATAGATTTTTCAATGCTGATTTCAAGCCTGTTTTTAGTTTTTGGGTTTTTTTTGCAGCACATCTAGTTTTTGTGATGAGATGCATTATTTTTCAGCATTATTTGTGATTTTGTTACAACTGAAACAATATTCCTTCTCATTTCAGATTTGATTTTGTTCAATGTAAATTTACTTATCAGCATGCCTAGAATATGCAAAACTCACCCCGACACATTTTGCAATGTATGCGGCTTATTTACAGATTCAGGTCAGCAATGTAAAATTACCAAAGATCTCATGAAAATCTACAAATTGTACTTCAGGTGCCCACTAGATGATCAGGATAAGGCATGGACTCCGCACGGTATTTGCACTGCACGGTATTTTGACTTCACAGATGGAAGACTTCACTTTCATTTGCAATACCAATGATATGGATATAGCCAAAGCATCATAGTGATTGTTACTTTTGCAGCGTTAATACAACTGTTTTTAAAAAAAAAAAAAAAAAAATTGTTTATCCAAATTTGGATTCGGCCATCAGACCAGTTCCTCAAAGAAGTGAATATGAGCTAGGAAGGAACAGTGTCCAAAACATTCCTTTGGTTAATCCGCAAAATATTTTCTTGCCACCTCTCAATGTTAAGCTTGGCTTAATGAAGAACTTTGGGAAAGCGATGGGGAAAGCTAATTCTGCAGGATTTCAGTACTTGGTAAATAAATTTCCAAAGATCAGTGCAGCCAAATTGAAGGAAAGAATAATTGTTGGGCCCCAAAGGAAGTTTTGCAAGACACAAACTTCAAAGTTTCTCTCAACGTTCAAGAAAAAGAAGCTTGGCAGGCTTTCACATGGGTTTGAGAAAACCTTCTGGGCAACCATAAGTCTTACATGTATGAATCTGGCATTCAAAAGTTGCTTGACGCATTTCAAAAAATGGGATGTCGTATGTCTTTCAAATTGCATTTGTTACATTCGCACCTCAATTTTTTTCCTGAAAATCTCGGAGCAGTGAGTGATGAGCAAGGCGAACGATTTCATCAAAACATTCCACTGATAGAAAATCGCTACCAAGGTTCCTGGAATGAAATCAGGATTGCAGATTACTGTTGGATGCTGTATCGTGATAAACTAGATAAAGTGTACAAAAGAAAATCATATTCACAACGATTTTGATGTTTAATTGTAAAAGTGGTGTAATATTGATTACATTTATTATTTATAAAATATTTTACCAGGAAAGATACATTGAGATTTCTCTAGTTTTCAAGTATGTCGTTGGTCGATAAAACATTGCATTGATACAATAGAGTACAATAAAATACAAAAACAATTTAATATACAATATATAAAAAATTTAACATAGAACAGGTAGGAAATAAATAATCAACCATGACAGGTGCATTCTGTTTTGAGGTATGTAGAGAGGGATCTCTTAAAGGAATTTAGGCTTGGGAGAAGATTTGACGATAACTGTTGATGATATATGTAAGTTACAACAATAATGGATGCACTTTGGTACGACTCTATTCCTTGCACATTTCTGAAACATACATAAAATCTATGAAACCCAAAGGATGGTCGTATTTCAAAAACCAGACGTGCTACAAAAAAAGTGAATACATATTTGGAATCAGCATGAAACATTGATCTAGAATCTTTTTGTTTATGATGAGAGAAAAAAGTTTGATTTTGTTGACCTGTGTAATCGATTAACCCCTTAACGACCTAGGACGGTACAGGACCATCATCGTCATTTTTGCCTTGCAGACCGATGACGGTCCTGAACCGTCCGAACGGTCAGATGTACTTACCCGATCGCCATCGTTCCCCCGGCGGCGATCGGCGATGCTCCCGTTGTGGGGAGACTGCCTTCAGCCTAGACAGTCTCCCCATGGCGGATTAGGCCCCCTGTGGCCATGTGATCGCTCAACACAGCGATCACGTGGTCACAATAGGTGTCCATGTGTCTGCCTGCAGGGGGACTGCCTGTGCTGACAGGCAATCTCCCTGCAAGTGTAAAAAAAAAAAAAAAAATGCATGTTAATGTTAATTAAAAAAAAATTATATATGTGTGTATATATATATATATATTTGTGTAAAGGCCAATTTAGCCGTATATGGAGTAGGTTCGAGTGAGAACGTAAGATAGTATAAATGAGCAAAGTCGGTTGTGGTGTGCCGATACCGACGATACGGTAGGCCTGTAAATAAAGAGGGCCCGCCAAGAAGAAATAAAGTAAGATAGAATTGAAAGAGGAAAGTGTTGTAAAAGAGGAGTGGGTGGGAGGGTCATTCAGATGCTGACCTTGAACGGTGTGGAGACAGGTAAGGGATGTACCTTATATAGGGGAGTGGTTTAATTCCAGCCCTTTCCACAAATACAGGCCAAACAGCCTTAACACTTGTGTAAAGGCAAATTTAGCCGTATATGGAGTAGGTTCAAGTGAGAACGTAAGATAGTATAAATGAGCAAAGTCGGTTGTGGTGTGCCGATACCGACGATACAGTAGGCCTGTAAATAAAGAGGGCAAAAATTGAATAATCGAAGATTTAATACAGTCAACAATTTATACAATTATCCAGACATTTCTTTAAAAGCCTTTCTTAATTTTTGTGTAGGTTTCGGTATGTAGGTTGTGTAGGCGGATGACTTCCACCGCCCTAATGACTTAATGATATGCACCGGTATGTTTGCGCTGGAAGCAGTGGAAGCCGCCCCTATGCGGAAGGAGTGACCTGAGTATAGTGAAGGGTTAAGACCTAGCATGGTTAACAGAGATCTGATGTATCGCATGAAAGTCGCAGTAGTGAGTACAGAGCCTTTGAGTGA